AACTACAGTAATCTCTTCACCATCAGCCTGTCTTTCACATGTAAAAGGTCCCAGTAAGCAGCGTCTGGGGGCTTGACTGTGGCCTTGAAGTTCATGTTGCAACAGGATGTGTTTTAGAGGGTCTTTAAGCTGCTATCAGCTTAAAGACCCCCCCAACAGAGCTCCCTGCCATTCAGGACCTCTATACCAGGCGGTGTCAGAGGAAGGCCCTAAAAATGATCAAAGACTCCAGCCACCCAAGTCATAGACTGTTCTCTCTGCTACCACACAGCAAGCGGTACCGATGCACCAAGTCTGGAACCAACAGGACCCTGAACAGCTTCTACCCCCAAGCCAGAAGACTGCTAAATAGTTAGTTAAATAGTTAACCAAATATCTACCCGGACTATCTGCATGGACCCCTTTGCACTAACTCTTTTGACTCATCAAATACACTGCTGCTACTGTTTATTATCTATCTTGTTTCCTAGTCACTTTACCCCTACCCATATGTACATATCTACCTCTATTACCTTGTACCCCTGCACGTCGACTCTGTACTGGTACCCCGTGTATATAGCCAAGTTATTGTTACTTACAGTGGCTTGCGAAAGTATTCACCCCCCTTGGCATTTTTCCTATTTTGTTGCCTTACAACCTGGAATTAAAATGGATTTTTTGTGGGGTTTGTATCATTTGATTTTCACAACATGCCTACCACTTTGAAGATGCAAAATATTTGTTATTATGAAACAAACAAGAAATAAGACCAAAAAAAAAGAAAACTTGAGCGTGCATAACTATTCACCCCCCCCCCCCCCACCCACACACACACATTTACATTTAAGTCATAGTAGACACTCTTATCCAGAGTGACTTACAGTTAAGTGAGTGCATACATTTTTCATACTCTCAATACTTTGTGGAGACACCTTTTGCCGCAATTACAGTTTCAAGTCTCTTGGGGTATTTCTCTATAATCAGGGATCAACCATAACCCTGATATTACCCTGTCTCCCAAAAGCATATTTTACAGTTAGTCTAAACAAACACATCTGGGACACTCAGCTTGTCATACACAATGGACCACTGGCTTATATCAAGACATCTCAGATTACACAGACCCAAAAAGAATTTGAAAAAAACAAATCCAATTTGGGTAAACTCCCATATCTATTGGGTGAAAAACCACAGTGTGCCATCACAGCAGCAAGATGTGTGACCTGTTGCCACAAGAAAAGGGCAACCCGTGAAGAGCAAACACCATTGTAAATACAACCCATATTTATGTTTATTTATTTTCCCTTTTGTACTTTAACTATTTGCACATTGTTACAACACTCTATATATACATAATATTACATTTGAAATGTCTTTATTATTTTGGAACTTTTGTGAGTGTAATGTGTACTGTTCACCTGTACACAGCCCATCTGAAATTAGCCCACCCAACTACCTTATCCCCATATTGTTATTTATTTTGCTCATTTGCACCCCAGTATCTCTATTTGCACATAATCTCTTGCACATCTATCATTCCAGTGTTAATACTAATTGTAATTATTTTGCACTATGGCCTATTTATTGCCTTACCTCCATAACTTGCTACATTTGAACACACTGTATATATTTTCTGTTGTATTTTTGACTTTATGTTTTGTTTTACCCCATATGTAACTCTGTGTTGTTGTTTTTATCGCACTGCTTTGCTTTATCTTGGCCAGGTCGCAGTTGTAAATGAGAACTTGTTCTCAACTGGCTTACCTGGTTAAATAAAGGTGAAATAAATAAATTTAAAAAACTGTTCATTTGATATTGTTTATTATCTATTTCACTTGCTTTGGCAATGTTAACATCTGTTTCCCATGCCAATAAAGCCCTTTGAATTGAATTGAATTTTGAGAGAGAGAGAGAGAGTCATCAATTAACAAGGTGTGTGAGCTGGTTGCTTGGGGTGTGATAACGAATTTCATTCTGTGTCACATCAGTAAGTGTGTTTCAGTTTGATGTGATTTGATTGGATGGCAGTCCCAGTCATGTGCAGGCTTGTGCTACTAAATAAGCCTTGTCGGTTGGCTAGGAGCATCCTGCCAGTTTCATTATCATTATTATTGATGTATTTTCCCGTTCTGCTCCGATGTTCTAGCGCAGCTACAACTAAGGCTGAAATTATACGACTATTCAGGGCCCACTATTGAGTATCACCGAGTGAAGCGATCGCTGCAGCATTATTGCTGGCAGCGTGGTTCTCGTGTTGTAGGCCTATATGGTCTCCTGTAGCTCAGTTGGTAGAGCGTGGCGCTTGCAACGTCAGGGTTGTGGGTTCGATTCCCGGTGGGGGGGGCAGTATGAAAAAAGTGTATGCACTCACTAACTGTAAGTCGCTCTGGATAAGAGTGTCTGCTAAATGACTTAAATATATATTCTGTATATATTCTGCTTCCCCAGTCGCTCTTGGGAATCGAAAGCTAAATTAATGAGAGGCTGCTATGTGCTTAACTTCGACGCAAGAGAGCGCTCCTAAACGGGGACGGTTGCAGCTGAACCGCAAGACAGGACCCTATAGCCACAAGACTACATATAAGCGCTGACTTTAACCATCTCCTCCAAAACAAGGAGAGGAGAGAAGATGCGTTGAAATACTTTAAAATTACCGCTCTCTCTTATTTTCGTTATTGTGATTGAAAAAATATAGACGTTGCGTTCTTATTTATTTCCAAATTATTAGGCAAAAAAGGACCAAGATTGGTAAGTTTGTTCTATTGATTTTTATATAATATAAATATACTAATCCTATTTAAACGCATTTATCGGTATAGATTCATGCATTAACAATTCGTAGGCTTGTAGATAGGTTACAAAAAAAATGCATTATTATATTTCAATAGTTTAATTTAAATATATATATATATTTTCTGTCAGTGAAATCACTGCGCTATATTTGAATGAGCACTGCTGCTTCAGTTCTGTCGGAGCTTTGTTTCACCAATATGCTTGTATCTGTTTTCATAATGCAGTTCCTGTAGCAGGCTGTCGGTTCTACGATACATCACAGACTTCTTCAAACGGAAAGATAATTGACCGTTTCCCCCTCTGTTCACAAAGCGCAGTCCGGTGGGACAAAATAACGTGGACTCTCATCTCTCTGGAAATTAATGCAAATTCATGACTCTGAATTTAATGTAAACTCCGGATGTAAAAATATATTAATTCAATTATCTTAAAATGGAAGGAAATATACTAAATTATAGCCATAGTCTAATCAAACTGTTTGGTAAATAATTTATGAAATTATCAAATAATTTTCTGAACAACCCGTTTAAGGCTAGCCTATGGCCTAATAATTTGCGTAGGCAAAAAATACAGTTAACAAAATTAAATAGGAAAAACCATTGAAAACATTACAGGCCTACTTAATATATCAGGGAACACAACGAGTCAAACCGTTATCGCCAAACGTGATTCTGTAGTGCTACATGAGCAATACCGTGGAAAGCGTGAGCAAAAAATACAAGTGCCTGTTTCGATGAGGGTGACAACTTTCCATAGAGCGTTTTCACGCCTTTATACAAACCCTCAGGTCTCGGCTTTTCTGAAAACAAATCTCGTACAATTTGTCATGTGGTTTACAAGAAAACGAATAGCTAAGTGAAAGGCATAAATGGCAAGCCATGCAATGATTTACCCTAGCTAATTCCTCTTTATAGGTCTAATAGCCGAATTTTACTACAAAGATCTTTGCTATCAATTGAATTGTTACACCATAATTCAATTGTTCTTATTTTCTAGTAAGCATCTCGATGTTATGAATCAATACGACAGAAAAGAGGGCTTAAATAAAGATGTAGATATACCACGGGGAGGTAGGCCCTATATGTCTTAGTGAAGGGTTCCATAATGAGGTGATAATGGTCGATCATCGGCCTGTCAATGGCCTGATGGGCTGTAGAGAGATGGGTCAGTGACAGCTGTCGGTCAATGGCCTGATGGGCTGTAGAGAGATGGGTCAGTGACAGCTGTCTGCCGGGAATACACAAATAACTAGCGAGAGAAGGAGGACACATGGGAAACTTTCATGTACATTTTTTATTTAGGTTACAAAAAAAATATACACAATATTTAACATTTCGTCCAAGAAGTTCAAATATATAACTAGAAAAAAATTGAGACTTTCGTGAAGTAGCACCCGCACTTGACTCCCCTTACTAGCTCTGACTTAGCTGATAGCTACTTTATTGAGGACAAATGTACTTAACATGACCGTGATATGTGGTTGTCCCACCTAGCTACCTTAAAAATCTTAAAATGAATGCACTGACTGTAAATCGCTCTGGATTAGAGCGTCTGCTAAATGACCAAAATGTAAAAAAAAGTAAAATATAGGCTAGACATGGGAAGTATAGGTTACTCCTTTTTTATTGCAAATTTACAGACCAGAATCCTGACAGGTCCTTATCTGGGAGATGAAGTGCAGCTCAAAGTTTCAGTATAAGCCTAACTGCGCAATAATATTTTGTGTGGACTAAAACATTAAAAATGACATTTTTTATCAATTAATTCACACCCCAAAATGGCCATATATGTGGACTGAGCCATCTATCACGATCCCATCCTCAAAGCCACACCCCATGGCCTTCACAGCAAAATGGGAGTGTGGAATTGGAATCACGTAATCACCCGTGCACGTTATCACCGGGGAGCAGCTCGTGAGTTTACACAGTCGTACTCAGTGCACGCGGCCAGCCAGACAGGCAGGAGGACTTCTCTGCCTCTTGAAGCCTATAGCCAAGTTAGCCCGTTTGAGAGTATAGGTCTACAGCCTATGCAATTATAATTTTGAATTTTTTGGATATACTTTTAATAAGATAATTGTACTTTTATTTCTCAAAAGAATGCAGAACTCATCAAGAAGATCCCTGGCACCGGTGCGTCTCCAACCCTTCTGACAGAAGCCTCTGAGCAGAATTGGAAAAAGAAAGTGGGACCAAATCTAATATAACCTTCCCAGACAAAAAATTACCATGCTCGGAGAGAGAGAGAGAAACGCCTTTCCTTCCCCCAAGGACGCCCCCCGCCCGGAGGAGAGGAGAAAGTCCCCGGTGGTGGGCGCAGATGACCCGGCAATGGCCGGCAGCGCTAGCCGATACACGGACGGACTCGGGTCAGACCGCTATTATATCTCACCCCCATCCAAGCAAACTGTAGACATGGCGAGTCCATGTTCGTTATTCCCTTATTCCCAGTCCAGTACCGTTTACACGGCATCCGGCGGATCCAGGTATTCGACCTCGCTTCACTTCAGCTCGGTGTTGCCTCCCACGGGATTCTCCTCGGCGGTGTGCGCCGGGCGCAGTCAGTTTCGGCTCGGCCTACCAGTTAGGACAGGGTGGATGTCTCTACCCTCCATACAGTACAGGGTCCGGGATCGGCACAATGCCCCTACCCTCAGGCACCGGGGTGAGGGCTCAGGTCTACCTCTGTAACCGGCCTCTTTGGCTCAGGTTCCACCGTCATCAGACCGAGATGATCATCACCAAACAGGGCAGGTGAGTGCGATGTGGCCAGCGGCTAAATCCTTCCGAATGCTTCGGTTTGGCTGGTGCCGAGTGTGCTCGCATACTCCATTAAAAGACCTTCGCTTGAAATACCATAAAAATGTGTCCGCATACTTAAAAGGATGCCATCACCAGTTCGATTGTATTTATATTTGATGTTGTGAAACTGTATTCTCTGAAACGCACCCACACCATCATTTTTCTCTCTCTCAAATTCTCACCTGCTCTGGCACATGTATAAAACACCCACACACGGCACGCACACACACACATTTCAATCTCTGTCTGTTTGTCAGGCGGATGTTCCCGTTCCTGAGTTTCAACCTGACGGGTCTGAATCTCTCTGCTCATTACAACGTGTTTGTGGAGGTCGTGCTCGCTGACCCCAACCACTGGAGGTTCCAAGGCGGGAAATGGATCACCTGTGGAAAGGCAGACAATAATATGCATGGTAATCCTAGCAATTATAGACAGTACAAGGATTCTAAACCATTTCTAAATAGTTGTTATTATCACACTATTATCACATTACCCACAGCGATTAATAACTCATTTGATTACGAAACAATCTTTATAACCATTTTCTTTCTTTAGGAAACAAAATGTATATCCATCCTGAATCTCCCAACACGGGAGCACACTGGATGAGACAGGAGATCTCCTTCGGCAAACTGAAGCTCACCAACAACAAAGGAGCCAGCAACAACAACGCACAGGTGATGCATTTTTATGCCACGTGCATGGGAATCATTTTAAGGAAAATAAAACATACCATAAGCCTGGGAATGTATTGATTTATGTAAGAATATTTTCATCCTCTGAAAGTAAATGTCTTCCTACAGTGGTTAGTGTGTAACTTATAGGCGCACCCACATTTTAAAAATGCAAAACAAAATAAACACGTATTTAATTAATTTCTCTCTCTCTTTCGAGTGGCGCAGTGGTCTAAGGCACTGCATCGCAGTGCTAGCTGTGCCACTAGATATCCTGGTTCGAATCCAGGCTCTGTTGTAGCCGGCTGCGACCGGGAGACCCATGGGGCGGCGCACAATTGGCCCAGCGTCGTCCAGGGTAGGGGAGGGAATGGCCGGCAGGGATGTAGCTCAGTTGGTAGAGCATGGTGTTTGCAACGCCAGGGTTGTGGGTTAGATTTCCATGGGGGGCCAGTATGAAAAATAATAATAATGTATGCACTCACTAACTGTAAGTTGCTCTGGATAAGAGCGTCTGCTAAATGATAAAAATATAATTTATTATTACATACATATCTTGATTATTCAGTGCGGGCCAAATCGTGAAAACTTTCGCGTAAAATTGCATTGATGTCAGTGGGAGTTTTATGCGTCAGTATGCATGTGTATAGGATTTGGCCCACAAATAAGTCTTCTCCGTTGACTTTCTGTTTTGTTTTTCTATAGATGATAGTCCTTCAGTCTCTTCATAAGTATCAGCCGCAGCTGCACATTGTTGAGGTGACAGAGGGGGTGGAGGACATGAGCAGTGACCCAAAGACCCAGACCTTCACCTTCCCCGAGAACCAGTTTATAGCCGTCACTGCTTATCAGAACACTGATGTAAGAATGCATCTCTCTCTCTCTCTCTCTCTCCTCTCTTCTCTCCTCTCCTCCCCCCTCACCGCTCTCTCCTCTCGTCCTCTCATCTCCGTCTCTCTCTCTCTCTCTCTCTTCATCTCTCTCTCTCTCCCTCGCGCGCTCCTGTCTCCCCTCGTCCTGCTCCGGGGCTCGTCTCGTCTGGCTCTCCCGGTCTCCACCCTCGGCTGGGGCGTGGTTCCGTCATTCGTCCGATCTGGTGTCTTCCAAGGGTGCGTGCTCGGCTCATGGCCGCGGGGGGGGTCATCTCAGGGGACTCTGATCAAGGTGCGAATCTCGGAAGTGTAGGGGCGTCATCCGCTCCTCATTCGTGGTGCTCTGCGATCTCTGAGGGATTCCGGGCGTCGTTCTAGGAGCCAGGCGGTCTCGTGATCTTCTCTTTGCTCTCGTGCGAGTAGGGGGTTGCCTCCTCTTCCTACAGTATGTAGGCTCTGGGCGTACGTCGGCTGGACTGGCCATCGTCTCTCTCTCTTCGGCGTGGGCCGGTCGGGGCGTCGTCCCCTCTCTCAACTCTAGTCTCGTCACGTCTTCTGTGTGTCGGCTAGCCGGGCACAGGTCTTGCCTTCGGGTCTGTCGCTCGGTGCCCCGCCGTCCAGCTCGGAGTCTCTCAGCCTCAGCCCTCGGGCCGGGGGCTTTCGTTCGGCTTAATGCATAGTCGGGGTCTACTGCGCTGGGGGGTCGTCGGTCTGGGGCATAGGAGGGTCTCGGGGGTGCGAGCCGTTGTCGCGTGTGCATCTCTTCGCGGGCTATTGCGGGTCTGAGTTCGTGCTCTGTGCGGCGACGAGTCTCTTCAAGCTCGGTTGGCGGGGGGGCTGAGGGTTAGGGTGAATTGGTGTTAGGGAGAGGGGAGGGGTGCTTTCTTCGGGGGGTCGTCGGTTTTTCGTGGTCGAATGTGTTCGGGGGTGTGATTGTAATGGAGTCGCTGACGATTGAGGTGGGAAGGGGGGGTTTTCGTGGTCGGGGGTGCCTGGTTCTTATGGTGGGGTGGAGTAATAAATGGGGGCTGGATCTCCTTATGCACGCGCTTCATCTTCTCCCGGGGGTCGTTACTTCATTCGCGGTTCTTCGGGCTCGGGGGGTCAGCGGTCGGGTTCGCGGAGTTCGGTCTCTGTCTCTGAGTCTGCGTCGCCTTTGCCACTTCAATTTAAAGAAGGGGCTTTATTGGCATGGGAAACGAACGTGTGTTAACAACATTGCCAAGATGAGTAGATAGTCTCTCCTCCTCATTCTTCCCCTCCCTCTCCGTCCTTCGGGCCCTCGGTGGTCCAGGGCGTCTCGCTCACTGTCTCCTCGTATGCTCTGCTCTCTCTCTTACCCATGTTATCCCTCATTATAATACATTGAGTTTTCTAATTGCTTCTCTCTCTTTCCATAGATCACACAACTGAAAATTGACCACAACCCTTTCGCAAAAGGATTCAGGGATAACTATGATTCGTGAGTATCTTTAATTTTTCTGCAATATTTATATTCACTTACAGTGACTGTAATTTTAACAGCTGATTTTCATTACTACTTGGTCCCTGACACATTTCCTTATACACTGAGTGTACAAAACATTAGGTAACACCTTCCTAATATTGCATTGCAGCCCTATTGCCCGTCAGAACAGCCTCAATTCATTGGGGCATGGACTCTACAAGGTGTCGAAAGCGTTCCACAGGAAGGCTGGCCCATGTAGACTCAAATGCTTCCCACAGTTGTGTCAAGTTGGCTGGATGTCCTTTTGGTGGTGGACCATTCTTGATACACATGGGAAACTGTTGAGTGTGAAAAACCCAGCAGCGTTGCAGTTCTTGACACACTCAAATCGGTGCACCTGGCAACTACTACCATATCGCATTCAAAGCCACTTCAATCTTTTGTCTTGCCCATTCACCCTCTGAATGGCTACACATACACAATCCTATACACAATCCATGTCTCAATTGTCGCAAGGCTTAAAAATCCTTCTTTAACCTGTCTCCTCCCCATCATCTACACTGATTGAAGTGGATTTAACAAGTGACATCAATAAGGGATCATAGCTTTCACCTGGATTCACCTGGTCAGTCTCGTCATGGAAAAGAGCAGGTGTCCCTGATGTTTTATACGCTCAGTGTACATTCTCCATCTCACTTACTGCTGTGGTTTCTAGGATGTACACAGCTCCAGAGGGTGACCGACTAACCCCCTCCCCCACCGACTCCCACCGCTCCCACCAGATCGTCCCAGGTGCCCGCTACGCCATGCAACCTTTCTTCCAGGACCAGGTCATCAACAACCTGCCCCAGAACCGCTTCTACAACAGTGAGAGGACAGTACCCCAGACCAACAGCCTCCTTTCCCCCCAGCCAGAGGACAGCGCCTCCCAGAGGTGGTTTATCTCCATGCAGCAGGGAGGAGCTGGCCCCAACAAGCTGGATCTCAGTTCCTATGAAGGGGACTACTCCAGCAGCCTGCTCCCCTATGGTATCAAGTCCCTGCCTCTACAGACCTCCCACGCTCTCACCTACTACCCTGACTCTCCCTTCACCTCCATGGCAGCAGGATGGGGGTCTAGAGGATCTTACCAGAGAAAGGTGACCACAGGCCTGCCCTGGTCCCCTAGACCCAGCCCCACTGGGTTCCCAGAGGACCAGCTGTCTGTGCCCTGACAAAGACAAGGCTCAGGAGGAAGAGATCAGCAGTATTGGTGGTAACATAGCTTCAGCATGGACTGATACTCACTCCTCCACTCTGAGCCTGGAGAAGGCTGACTCTGGGAACATGGTGTGTAAGAGGAGACGTACGTCTCTGAGTGGACCCGGCACAGAGAACTCCCCCACTATAAAGTGTGAGGATCTGACTGCCACTGACACCTACAGCAAAGACTCCTCCGTTTCTAAAAGCATGGCTTACTATTCCTTCTACACAAGCCCTTAATTAAATTGTTTATGGTCACCTTTTAAAATCTTGTTGCCAGATTTACCCCCTTTCGTATTTGTTGGAGTTCCAAGTCTGTTGATATTCTGCCAAACCAGTACCTATGCCAACCTTACCCACCAGAGTTCTAAACCAGTACCTATACCAACCTTACCCACCAGAGTTCTAAACCAGTACTACCTATACCAACCTTCACCCAACCCAGAGTTCTAAACCAGTAACCTATACCAACCCTTACCTATAACCAACCTTACCCACCAGAGGTTCTAAACCATACCATATACCCACCTTACCCCACCAGGTTCTAAACCATACTCCTAACCAACCTTACCCACCAGAGTTCTAAACCAGTACTATACCAACCTTAAGCCTTAACCCACCAGAGGTCTAAACCAGTACCTATACCACCTACCCACCAAGTTTCTTAACCAGTACTATATACCAACCTTACCCACCAGAGTTCTAAACCATACCTATAGCCCACCTACCCACCAGAGTTTCTAAACCAGTCTAACCTTACAACCCTTAACCCCACCAGAGTTCTAAACCAGTACCTATACAAACCTAACCACCCAGTTCTAAACCAGTACTCTACCTATACCAACCTTACCCACCAGAGTTTCTAAAACTACCAGTACCTATACGCAACCTTACCACCCCACCCACCAAGTTCTAAAACCCAGTACCTATAACCAACCGTACCCACCAGAGTTCTAAACCAGTACTCCCTATACCAACCTTACCCCACCAGAGTTCTAAACCGTACCTATACCAACCTTACCCCCATAGTTCTAAACCAGACTACCTATACCAACCTTACCCCACCAGAGTTCTAAACCAGTACCTATACCAACTTACCCACCATATTTCTAAACCAGTACTACCTATAACCACCTTCCCCCACCATAGTTCTAAAAAAACCAGTAACTCTACCTATACAACCTTACCCACCAGGGTTCCCTAAACCAGTACTACCTATACCAACCCTTACCCACCAGAGTTTCTAAACCCGAACCTATACCACCTTACCCCCAGAGTTCTAAACCGTACCTCATACCAACCTCCACGCAGAGTTCTAAACCAGTACTCCCTATACCACGGTTCCCCACGCCTAAGTTCTAAAAAACCAGTACCTATACCAACCTTCCCCCATATTCTAAACCAGTAACCTATACCAACCTTAACCACCCACCAGAGTTTCTAAACCATACTACCTTACCAACCTTACCCACCAGAGTTCCTAAACCTACCTAATACCAACCTTACCCACCAGAGTGCTAAACCAGTACCTATACCAACCTTACGACCACCATAGTTCTAAACCAGTACCTATACCAACCTTACCCACCAGAGTTCTAAACCAGTACTACCATTACCAACCTTACCCACCAGGTTCTAAACCAGTACGACCTATACCAACCCTTACCCAATACCCACCAATTTCTAAACCATTACTACCTATATACACCAACCTTACAACCCTTACCCACCAGATTTTCTAAAACTTCCCCACCAGAGTTCTAAACAGACGTACTACCTATACCAACCTTACCCACCATATTTTTAACATATGTGACCCTGACTGTGTGATTTTTTCTTAAAGTGCCAGAGTATTTGAGGACAGCCCAGCGGGTTGGTGCTATAATGTGATTGTCCTTCAATGGTTACCCAATATATCCTTCCATTGAAGTTTTTGTTTACAAATTTTTGGACTTTTTTATGGAGGCTTGTGAATACTATATTTGTGCACTGTAAAATGTTGAGGGATCTTGTTAATATATACTACGTACATTGCAATGTTAAAGAGTTTTTGTTTTTTGTAATAACATAGCTTCAAGCGCTTCGTTATCCAACTACTGAAGAATAGGTGTCTTCGGCCCATCAGCAATAGGGGATTTAAGATAACATTCCAAACCATGGCTGTAACCAGCGACTCGCAAACCACTACCGGGGCCAATGCAATATACGATTTTTCTCCATCTATACCATCAAGGGCCAGTGCTCTTGGCAGTTTGGTTACTTCGGAATGCGACATGCTCAGAAATACACATCTCTCTTCTGGCACAATATATATACGTTTCATTGTCACACACCAGGACCGTATAGGTGCAGTGAATGTGTTGTTTTTACAGGGTCCGCCACAGTATACTGCACCCCCCCTGAGCAATTGGGGATGTTTTGATGAGGAAATATGCCTGTATTTTACTCTGATCATCAGTCATAGCCGTGGTGTCACCAACCTTTTTGGAGTCCAAGGCACTTCGGAATCAAAAAGCAAGCCGAGATCTGACCACTCAGATTTTTTTTTAAAACTCTTTGAGTCGATTTCCCCAGACAGCCCACTAGTCTCTCATGAGGTGTAGCATGGTACCGGGGGTATTTTCAAAAATAGTAGTTTAGTGTCTAAGAAAAGGGTGAATAGTGTAAATTAACAAAAGTTTCCTGATCTTTTCTTATATCTCTGAGATATAGGACAGACACGTCAAAAAAACAACTTCCTTTAGATTCGTTTTTTTTTGGCTATCTGTTTTTATCCATGTATGAATCTTTTTGTTTTCTTCAATGCGTTTCTCTGGGCTAATAGCGTAAAGCCAATACAATGTTTCATATCATAAAAAAACAAAAAAAAAAAAAAAAAAAAAGGGCTCCTAAAATTCTAATCAAACATCTAATGATCCTGTAGGAACTCTTAAACAATTCCATGTTAGCTTCTTAGAACACCCCACCTCATATGGTTCCTAAATGACCCGAGCAAGTGAAATCATCCTGATATTAAGCTGCAATATCAGAAATTGCCGCCGCCATTTTCCTTGTTGGGCTAAATCTAAGAGTTGCCTAATTTCAGTTTATGTGACAAAACAAGCCATTTAGAGTGTAGAGAATCATTGTACCAGCTAAACGCGCTGTGATTATATATTTTTCCAAAACCAAAATATTATATTTTCAGCTGTTTAAGCTGGTGTACAACACCGAAATTGAAAAGACCCAAAAATAAACTTAACAACAGGAAGCATAGAAATAGCGCACTGCAGATCTACCATTCTTAGACTGCTGTCAAGAGAATGACAGATCTAAAATTTACATTACGTCATTTAGCAGACGCTGCTTTTATCCAGAGCGCTTACAAATTGGTGCATTCACTTATAGCCAGTGGATAGCCCCTTTACAATTTTTTTTAAATTATTTTTTTATTATTATTATTTAATTTCTTTTGGGGGGGGGGGTGGTGGGGTGGGGTAAGGTACCCCACCAAAGATTTTCTAAACCAGTACTACCTATAAAAACCTTCCCCCACCAGGGGTTTTCTAAACCAGCCCATACCAACCTTACCCCCCAGATTTCTAAACCAGTACCATCCCAAAAACCTAACCCAACCCAGAGTTCTAAAAAAGTACACCTATCCCAAACCTTACCCACCAGAGTTCTAAACCAGTAACTATCCCAACCCTTACCCACCAGAGTTCAAACCGTCCTATCCCAAACCTTACCCCCCCAGGTTTAAACCAGTCCCATACCAACCTTTACCACCAGAGTTCTAAACCAGTACCTATTACCAACCTTACCCACCCAGAGTTCTAAACCAGTACTACCTTATACCAACCTTACCCACCAGAGTTCTAAACCAGTACCTATACCAACCTTACCCACCAGAGTTCTAAACCAGTACTACCTATACCAACCTTACCCACCAGAGTTCTAAACCAGTACCTATACCAACCTTACCCACCCAGAGTTCTAAACCAGTACCCTATACCAACCTTACCCACCAGAGTTCTAAACCAGTACTACCTATACCAACCTTACCCACCAGAGTTCTAAACCAGTACCTATACCAACCTTACCCACCAGAGTTCTAAACCAGTACTACCTATACCAACCTTACCCACCAGAGTTCTAAACCAGTACCTATACCAACCTTACCCACCAGAGTTCTAAACCAGTACTACCTATACCAACCTTACCCACCAGAGTTCTAAACCAGTACTACCTATACCAACCTTACCCACCAGGGTTCTAAACCAGTACTACCTATACCAGTATACCTATACCAACCTTACCACCAGAGTTTCTAAACCAGTACCTATACCAACCTTACCCACCAGGTTCTACGAAACCAGTACTACCTATACCCAACCTTACCCACCAGAGTTCTAAAACCAGTACTACCCTATACCAACTTACCCCACCAGGGTTCTAAACCAGTACTACCCTATACCCAACCTTACCCACCAGAGTTCTATAACCAGTACCTATACCAACCTTACCCACCAGAGTTCTAAACCAGTACCTATACCAACCTTACCCACCAGAGTTCTAAACCAGTACTACCTATACCAACCTTACCCACCAGAGTTCTAAACCAGTACCTATACCAACCTTACCCACCAGAGTTCTAAACCAGTACCTATACCAACCTTACCCACCAGAGTTCTAAACCAGTACTACCTATACCAACCTTACCCACCAGAGTTCTAAACCAGTACCTATACCAACCTTACCCACCAGAGTTCTAAACCAGTACCTATACCAACCTTACCCACCAGAGTTCTAAACCAGTACCTATACCAACCTTACCCACCAGAGTTCTAAACCAGTACTACCTATACCAACCTTACCCACCAGAGTTCTAAACCAGTACTACCTATACCAACCTTACCCACCAGAGTTCTAAACCAGTACTACCTATACCAACCTTACCCACCAGAGTTCTAAACCAGTACTACCTATACCAACCTTACCCACCAGATTTTTAACAATATGTGACTGACTGTGTGATTTTTCTTAAAGTGCCAGAGTATTTGAGACACCCAGCGGGTTGTGCTATAATGTGTATTGTCCTTCAATGTACCCAATATATGCCTTCACATTGAAGTTTTGTTTACAAATTTGACTTTTTATTGAAGGCTTGTGAATACGATATTTGTGCACTGTAAAATGTGAGGGATCTTGTATAATATATACTGTACATTGCAATGTTAAGAGTTTTTGTTTTTTGTAAT